CCCCAAAACCCCAAAACCCCAAAACCCCAAAACCCCTCCTGCTCAGGTAATAATAGAATTCATGGATTAATCATTAAAATTTCTTCCATACATTATGGTTAAAGTGATTGATTTATCCAAGCTCTTAGATTAGAAAGAGCTTTCGCTTCATCCAGTCTCTTCATCGACCATATCCTTCTTGATACAGTTGATAAATTCTTTATTATGGTTCCAGTTGTGGGAATATTTTCTGATAATGGCAAGGGACTCTTCATGCCGATTTAGTCTGTAAAGACAAATAGAGATCCAAAAGAAGACTGTTTCCTTCTTTGCTTCAAACCCTTCATCTCTGTAATACTGTTTCCTGTAGAGCAAGTTGAGAAGGAATTCAACAAGAGCTTCAAGTCCTTCCTCAAGAAGTTCTTTGTAATCTCTTGATGTTAGATTAAATATCACTTGAACATCAAGAGTATGTCCTAAACTAGTCTGCTCAAGAAGCTCAGTTTCGTAATTTTCCTGTTGGGAGGACAACTTAGCATGGAAATCTCTGATAATTTTACAACAAAGTTTTCCCTTTTCAAGCAAATATTTAGGATCTGAGAAGGTTCTGAATGTTGTCTTTGTTCCAAAAGGTAAGTCTTCATCAAAGGATCATTTTCGTGTATTATCAAAGCTAGAATTTGAATTCGATAAATTTGGTTCGTTAGCATTTTCGTTATTTTCGCGAATATTTACAGACTCAAATTCGGTGAAATTGTCAGTAACTTTGAGCAAATTTTCGGCTGTTTGTTCATCATTAAACAAAGTCTGATGGGTATTCGCAACAAGGGTCTCCCTGGTTCATTCTGTGAATTCATCGAGGTCGACCTCTGAAGTCCCTGAGGGATCATAGTCAAGCTCTTTATTTTCTTTCATAATCAATCTTGAGATGTTTATTTTCTCTATCTGAGTAAAATCTATTTCACCGAGAAAGCTATTTTTAGAGGTGCAAGACATTGTATCGTCAAAGATCTGGTCTTGAGATGCATGTACAAGCCGCCTGTACTTCTCAAACTCTTGGTCTTCTGGTAAGCTCGGGAGTCAGGAATTTATACGATCCAGAATTTCAATGGCGTTCCTATACTTTCCTTGGAAATTATAAGTACGATAGATAAGGTCTAATGCCCGAATATACTCTGAAGTGCTTATGGTCTTATTATCTTCGATTAAGATCATGAGTTGATCCCTTAAGTAAACCATTGTAATAAGGTCTTGGTGTTCAAAGACGGTCTCTAAGTTAAAAATTCAGAGATTTATATCTGAGTGACGCTGCTTGTATGCCTCATCAATCATATTAATAAATATGCCTGAATCTTTAATGACTCTAGCATGAAGTTTTAGCTGAAGTAGGTCTCAGTACTTCTTGTCGACAGGTTGTACCAATTCGAGTCCTTTAACAGCTTCCTCATATTGCTGGTGGGAGAGAACAGTATTATTTTCCAAGAGCCTCTCCAACTCAATAACTTTCGTAATATTCTCTTTGTATGGGCAGATAAATGATTTTATGTAATCTATCTTCGTTTGGTCAGATAAAGGATTGAGATATCAGAGAGCGGTCATAAATAGCTTATAGCCAGCCATAATGTTACCTCTAAGGACTTCTATTTGGGCCATTAGGAAATAGAGTTCTCTATTTCTCTCTGTTCATCCTCTCTTTTCAACTTCTTCGAGAGCTCCCAAAGCCTCTCCAAGATATTGGGTGTTTCCAAATTCAGTTACAATTTTTGCAAATTCTATTAGAAGTGAAAGTTTGTCACTATCCTCAGTGTATCTCTCTCTGATTATAGAAATAGCCTGGTCTATTTGACCCTCAACAACTCAGGCTCTGATGCATAGAAGAGTCATCAGACGGTGCCTAATTTCATTCTGCTGATCAAATTTTCTAGCAGAGGCTTCAAGAAGCTGGCATATTTGTGTAAAACTTCCATAAATATTCCGAGGTTCTTCAACTTTTCTGTTGTAATGATACAGCCGGATATAAGCATGCACCTTTTTAGGCTCTAATTGCACACAATTGTGAAGGGTGTGCATACATTTATCCATCTTGCCAACAACCGCGTAGATCTCGGCTTGAGCAATTCTTCCGAAATACTGATTAAGTGATTTGATCTCCAGAGCAGAATCTCTTGTTTTCCGGAAACGTTTCTCTGAAGTTTCAATTCATGAGTATTCATAAAGCCTGATTTTAAGGATGATCCACTTGATGTTGATATTGAATTGAGATAAAGTGTCGAATTTGCCAACTAGTCTTCTTAAGGCCTGGCGATCCTCGCTAGTCTCGCTCTGCATCCAGATGTAAAACATTCAGATTGCTTTCCAGAACAAGAATAAGAGGTTATCTTCAATAATAGAAGCTTTGTGAAAGTAGTTGTATGCAGTCAAGAAATCAGAAGAGAATAAAGCAATCATTCCTTTGAAGGCGAGGTAACACGGCATTATTTCAGAGTCTGGCATATTACTCGTTATCATTGATAAAATATTTCCAGCGTAGATTACCTGCTGGTCACTGAGTAACTGTAGCAGGATAGAAGGATCTTCAGGCAAGAAGAGCCAATCTATTGGCTGGTCGATCCGATGATACTGAAACAAATAATATACCTCATGTCCTGTGCATAATGGAGTAGGTGATGAATTAATTTTAGGGTTTAGCACTGTCCTTCTAGGCCCTAATTGACTAAAATTGTCAAAAATAGAGCATCCAACCTCTTCTTGCTCAAGATTTTGATATTGGTCTTCTACTTTTGGTGGATTAGTGACCACCTTTTTCTGATCTATCAGCAAGATCTTTGAGAGGAGTTGATTATGACAAGCAAGATTTCTCCGAGTCCGAGGCTTAAAATCTGGGCTAAAGCAGAAATCAGAACCTTGATGAGAGTTTTCATGACATTTTTCAATATGGCTGATATCATCATCTATACCAATATCTCTTTCACTATTTTCTGGGATATCAAAGTGCTCAGATTTAATCTCACTTTGAAGTCCAATAGAGGTAAAGGACTCAGTGTTTGTATTGACGTCCTCATCAATAGAATCACTTGAATCCAAAGAATCATCGAGAATTAACCGTTTGTTAAATAAATTAAAACTTTGCGAAATTTTTGAGTGAGCTGGATGTGTCTGTTTGGATTCAAATTTAAAATCTCGTCCTTTTTTGTTTGAACAATGACCCTCTCTCTCAAATGATCTGTATAGCCTTGGGGAATGGGTTTTAAATATGTTACTTGCTTGTGAAGGGTTTTTTGATAGATTTTCAACCTCACCAGTGTTTAACTGTAACTCCATAATTTTGATTTTAACCTCTAATTATTATTGGCCTTCAGATTTTATAATTTTTAAGGGGTTTTGGGGTTTTGGGGTTTTGGGGTTTTGGGG